GAAAACATTTACCTGCACCTTCCCTGTGCGTAGCCTGTGTTAGCATAACTCATCCACGCCCGCAAAGGCACACAAAACTGTTTTGCTTTGTGCTGGAATAGTGCCATCCAGGAGTAACAGCCAAAAGAAAAAATTCCTTTCAGTGACATTCATTGCCCTAAGCCAAAAACAAAGCACAAAGATACACTTTTCTCTTTACCGCTTGTGAAGGTGGAGGCAGTGCCAATATAAACCATGACTGAGGCTCTGGAATGATGCAAGTCCATGTCACTACTACAATTCAGTGATGCAACCTGAGTTTACGTTACTAACTTAAGGATTCAACCAGTTTAAAGCTTTTGGATAATGAGAATTATCTTAAAGTATTCCTACTGGTTTATTTTCCTCATTAACATGTGTTTCCTACCCACATCTCATTCAAAGCAGACAGTCCTGGTTTGCTTCTGTTTGCTCTGTAAATTTGCATAAGGACCATTGTTTGAATCAGCACTCTGATCTAACACTATAATGAAACACGTTGCACTCCCCCTTAGAAACTGGGGAGGAAAATGCTGATATGTTCATATAATTTATATTGATATATACTAAATTAACTGATGTTAATCTTTTAAGGTGGGGAAAAGAAAAAGCTTATAAAAATGAAAAGCAATGGGTAATTTCTATGTCATCTTTGGGGAGAATGTGCTGTTCTGTATCTTGCTTCTCTACAAACTGCTCAAACTTTTAGAGTTATGATGTCAGTCATTAACCGATCGTTCATTGCATTGTGTGTTCCCCCCAAAATGGATTAAGTACTGACCATGAGACCAGACAGGGAAATAATGCTAACATGTCAAATTAACTTGTAAATAATTTTTTTTGGCTGTTTTGTATGTACTTTGTGAGCCCTGCTGTACTTCAGTGAGAGGAATATCTTTCAGCCTGGACTGGAAGACCTACTACAGCATCTCCCTTTTTCACAATACCTTATGGACACCAGAAGGAATTGCAGATTTGTAGTTAATACAAAGGCTCTCGTTCTACTCCATCTCCCCCCTTATTTTTTTTTTTTTTTTTTTTTTTTGCCATGCAGTCTTAAAGTGAAGATCACACTTTTCTGGCCTTTAGCAGCTTGCATGGTGTTCTGGGCAATTGGATATGGAGAGCATACTGGAACATCACTTGTGCTGTCATCTGGACAGGCTGGATTGATGGGTCGAGGCCAATGGTATGAGGTTCAACAAGACAAAGTTCCAGTTCCAGCACTTGGGTCACAATAACCCCATGCAGAGCTGCAGGCTTGGGGCAGAGTGGTTGGAAAGCGGCCCAGTGGAAAAGGACCTGTGGATGCTGGTTGACAGCTGGCTAAACATGAGCCAGCAGTGTGCCCAGGTAGCCGAGAGAGCCAAGGCATTCTGGCTTGTGTCAAAAATAACGTGGGCAATGAGAGCAGGCACTGGTGAGGCTGTACCTTGAGTCCTATGTTCAGTTCTGAGCTGCTCATTACAAGAAAGACACTGAGGTTCTGGAGCATGTTCAGAGAAGGGCAATAGAGCTGGTGAAGGGTCTGGAGCACAAGTTTCATGAGGAGAGGCTGAGGGAGATGGGTTTGTTTGGCCTGGAGGAAAGGAGGCTCTTTCGCTCTCTACAAGTACTTGAAGGGAGGTTGTAGCAAGGTGGAAGTTGACCTCTTCTCACAGGAACTTGCGACGGGACAAGAGGAAATGGCCTCAATCTGCACCAGGGGAGGTTCAGGTTGGACATCAGGAAGATTTTCTGCACTGAAAGGGTGGTTAAGTATTGGAACAGGTTGCCCAGGGAAGGGACGGAGTCACCACCCCTGGAAGTGTTCAAGAAATGACTGGACATGGCACTTAGTGCTATAGTGTAGTTGACATGATGGTGTTTGGTCAAAGGTTGGACTTGATAATCTTAGAGGTCTTTTCCAACCTTAATAATCCTATGATTTCACATTATGTATATTACACTACTTATAAATAATGTCATAATTATACTATGCTGCAGGCTCAGAGTAGCCTGTGCCTCAGGTACTATGTTTTATGCCTTTTTTGATTACTTCCTTGTAAAGCTTCAAAAGGGAAATGAGATTATGCTACAATGAAGGAACACTGCCTACCTCCAGATTTTAGAGTCTTGTACTTTTCACTCAAAACAAAGGTAAGAGTCTTACTGACTTGAAGAAAGGTGTTTTAATTTATCCCAGATGGTATAGCAATGAAGAAACATGAGATGCGTGTCCTTGTATCTGAAGAGAAGGCAAAAGAACAGTTAATTTGAGGAAAATGAAAATCGGTTGGGACAGAGAATTTTAAACTGTGTCTGAATTTGGAGACTCTGATCATCTCAACTTCCAGATCTGGATGAACAATAAACATTTTATCTGCAGTCTAAGAAACAGGTGCACACAAGCCAGCCAAACTTCCCATGGCTTGACATCAGAAATGCATGCACAAATTCAAAAAAAAGCCATAACTTTTATCCAGGTTCTTGACATGAATGATGAGTGAAACAGGAGCCAGAAGTTTATACGTTTGTATACGAACAACTGATATGCAACCTAAATAAATACTGTGGGTAGAGGTCATGGAGTCAGATTTTGAAAGGTTCATGATAGCATTTGTCAGCTGTGTTCATTCATCTAACTTGGAAATTAATGCACAGACACTGCTGAGAATGTGGACACCTTTAAACACCAATAAACTACAATTAGGGTAGCACACAGCAGGGGAATTTGATTAGGAATGCTGATGCAGGACAAACGGTTGCAGATCAGGAAAAGTAGCATTGACAGTCACTAACATGAAATAGTAACAAAAATTTAAGCTGATTTCAGAGAGGAATGAGAAAATATTTAAATTCATACATTTAGGAATTTAAAGTAGAACACTTCACAATGAGAACTATTAAATGTATTAAACCAGAGCTGGTCTGTGATTTATGTAATGCTTACTTAAAAAAAAAATAAAAAAAAAATTGGTCTCTCTCTTGACAAAATCAAAGCTACCTGCTTTTTCTTTGCAGAGTTGTCCACTTTTTGGCTAACTGCATTAAAGATAAAAGCCAAGAAACTCAAAAACTTATATTAATTCTCCAAGTAGTAATTATGTCACTGAGGGGAATGAAACTGCAGATGCCTTTGTTCATTATTTACAAATTTGGTTCAGCATTAAACCCCTATACTATTTCTAAGTACCTTGATATTCTTCTCTGAAAAAATATAAAATTGCATATGTAGCATTTTTCTATTGTTGAATTAATTCCTTTTGGTTGGATTTCTTGGATAATATTGATGCTGCATTTTTCTAAGACCTTCATCTTGTTTTAAAATTTATAAAAGCATCCACAGTTCAACACCAGTGAATGCAGCCTCTACAATAAGCATGTAATCTGAGAATCTGGCCTGTCCTTTTCAAACCAGACAGTACCTACTATCTCACAGCACATTTCTGTACATATTCGGCCAGCTCGTTATAAGCACCACAGCTTTTTTTAACACTGAAAGATTTATGGCCTAGAGGCCATAAAAAAACAGAGGCCACAATTGTGGCTTAAATCATGACTTCCACCTGGGGCCACTGCAGAAAGCAGAGGAAGAGTCAGATGCAGTCTTACTCCCCTTTTTGCTCTGGGTGGTTGTTCTGGAAGGTACCTACTAGACAAGGTATAAAGGCAAAGTATTAGATGATGTAACAGTAACAACAAAATTATCCTATGAGTTCTGGCCAGAAGGTAGAGAGGAAGACTTTCAGAGAGAGCTGAACCTAGAGAGTTTCTTCAACTCCCTCTTCCTAGCCATACATTCTAATTGTCTCTTATATTGAAATAGTCCAGGAGCAGTATGAGTTCTTGTCAAGTTCATGCAAATATTAATTATTCTCTTTGGAAATTAATTATTCTCTGTTTGGAAAAAATCCAAACAAAGGCTTATTGGTGGAGAGGATGCAAGCAAATTTTGTGTTTTAGAGGTATAGATCACCCCATGGTTCTACCTCTTGCTGATGTTATTCTAATGAAGACATATTCAAACTACTGTCTTTTCGGGTGCTTCAGCAGCTAAGTGAATTTTAGTATGTTTGATGATATACTCCACGCATCAGAGCTGCCAAACACTTAAACAAGGTGCTACATTGAGGAGGGGGTCAGTATTTTTTTCACAGGTGATGTAGAATACACCATATGTGCAGTAATCTGCCACCTGCACCTGTTTCTCTCAGTTGAATCTACCTCATGCTCAACTTTAGAAATTTATGTAAATAGATCAGTATCCTATTCCTACAGACTAGCTATTTGATCTTTCAGATTTTGTCTCGTTACTAACTTCAGTGAAATACTTTTCCTACTAACTTCACATTATTTCTTGCCGTTTCTGTCATTTTTCTCTAAGTAGATCTCTGGTTCTACGCTATAGGAATGCAAAGAATATTTCCAGTCTCAGAGCAGTAATTTCAGAAAAGCAAATCTAAATAACAGGAATTTCAGGAAAAGTAATTCTAATTGGTATCTTATTTATCTGTTATTTTAGCAAAGGAAAGTCTGTGATGATAATTTTGCCGTTCAGGTCTCTGATTTGCCATAGGCTCAGAGCTTAGGCTCAGTGCAAACTTTTGTTACCGAGTGACTAGCAGAAGTATGACTCTTGTGTACCTTTTTGTAGTGAAATGATTTTGTCAACTTTAACCAGTAAGCCCCTTCTCAGGTTTATTTCTGTTGGTGGCAAAAAGCAATCACTCAGCCTTGAATACTTTGAAGCTAAATAGATGAGCCCATTCCCAAGGTATCTTGGCCCCACCCTTGTTAAATGAAGTCTGCTGGGACTGGCTCATCTGACCTTTGCCACGTAGGAAGCTACATAGGAAATGTGAGAACATGGGGTTTGTTAACACTAGTGGAATTTGAAGCTTTAATTAATTGTTTTATGGGTTTCCTTCTGTGGTGAAATGATCTCAGTACTCTCTAGTGGTTTACTCTTTCCTCATGCTTTCTCTAGGTGCTGTGAAATGGTTTTTGAGTCTTCATTCCATTATACATGGAATGTTGGTGTCTTCCAAGTGCAGCAAGATGCTGTTGGTGCCACTTAACTCTATAAACTGTGAGCTTATTGGAACTGACAGATGTTTGAAAACTGATAAGTAAGTATTCTTATGCTCTGCAGTTGTTGTTGAGGAGTACAGGCTTCCTTCATCTTGTCTTGTTTTCAGGAAAATAACTTAGATTGATTCTGAACTCTGTCCCCTAGGTTTTCTTACCTCTGAACAAAAAGTTCCAGTGCATATGGGTAGACTTGATCCAGAAGAACACTGTTAAGTGTTTATTAAGACTTAACGACTCCCTCTGTGAAAAATATACCTTCATGTGAATTCAGTGTTTCCCTCGTGTCTGAACTGAATATTTGGACCCATCCTTGAGCTTGAATGCATTTTCAAAGTAATACCTTCTTATTTGAGACATGTTAATCCCCTCGTGCAGCTAGATTACTGTAGGGAATGAGGAGACAAATCGCATGTTGGGTTGAAGGAGGGGAGCTAAAGTGAGTGGGGAAAAATGTAGGGCAAATTCAACAGTTTACAAAATGCTGAATTTTTCTCACTGTTTTTGCAACTTGTTTTCTGAACTTACTGTTTAAGGGATTTAATTAAGTCATTGAACTTGTTTCCTTGTTGGACAAAAAATCTTAAGTGTATTTTTATTTTCCCTGTCTTTCTCTTTTTATATATCCAGTAGTACAGACTTATGAAGTACGGAATTTTTTCTTTTTTTTTGAGCAATGCCAAGTAGGATTATCACTTTTTCTTTTTGGTTTTGGCAATTATAAAATATTCTTCTTTGAAATAGTAAAGGAAGTTTAGAACATATGGTAAAAAAAAAAGGGGTCATTTGAAGTCATACCTTGAAAAGTGATGAGAGATGTGTCATTTTAGGATTTTTATCTTACATCATGTTCATTCTTAAAGGATCTAGGATTTAAATGCTGCTTTATCAGATTTTTTTGTCCCTTGCTAATTTTGGAATATGCTAGTTTGAAGTGACAAATCTTGAATTTTTTTCAAAAGTTTTTTTCAAAATTTGAATAAAAGATATTTGGTTCTGAAAGGAAAAAAGTCGCAGTCACTGTTATTGATGCTCTTGGCATTTTTAGTAGAATGTAGAAGAGAGAACATGCTAGAATTTATACTTAGTTTCAAAGTCTCAGATAACTGTATACTTATCAGTGTGAACTTCTCAGACCACAACAGTTATTTCCTTAGTAGTCAAACTGTTTTCACTATCTTTACAAGCTGTTTTCAAAGATTTGGGATAGGAGGGATACATCATCTGAAATATCTTAAATGCAAGCAAGAATCTCACCAACTGTTTTGAGCTGTGAGTAGCAATGCTTCTGGAACACTAGGTCGCTTTTGCTTAGCTGCTTAGTTGTGATAGAAGATCTAGTCTATGTTTACATTGTTTTTTGTTTGTATAACATTTTAAAAAAAAGTTGCCATTAAAAAAGTAATGTAAGGATAGTAACTGCAAGGGCCTAAAAATTACTGATTTCTGATGCGTTACAGTGACAAATCCTTTCTTTTGTTTGAGTGAATGAGTATAGACTTGGGGAAAAAGATTGTGTTGTTATTATATCAGACTGTGACAATGCACAATGGTTAGAGTGAATATTGCTTAATTAACATAATTTAAAGGGTAATAGTCCAAGTCTTTTATGTTTAGCTTGATCTGTTGTGTTAGTGTGTATTCAAGACATTGAAGTGTTTCTATTTTAAATTCCTTTACTTTGTAGAGTACTCGCCTCAAGGGGTGCTCATGCATAAAGAATTTGTGGTTAATTTCTAAAGTAGTTTTTTGGAATTACTGTGTGCATGCAAATCCTTGTAAGTAGAAAGGAAATTGTTGTTGTACTTTATTTAATGTTACTTTCTATGGGATATACTTCAGTAACAAGTTTCTGTGAGTCTGTGTATGTGGCCTTAGCTAAGATTTACCATTCTTGCCTTGCCCTAAGAGTCTTGTCAGACAGAAGGAGTCTTGGTAGAAAGGTGCCATTTAAGAGGATACCTTTTGTTGCCTTGCAGAAAAATAAAATGACCTAGTAGTATCAGTACAAATAAATGTTTCATAAATTTTGTCCTAGCAATGTGTATACAAAGGAAATCCTGTACAGAACTTGTCAGAAACTTGTCTTGGTTGCCCAAAGCTAATGATGGTAGAGCGATGCAAGCCCATGCACGGGGATAACTGTGGTCTTGTGTAGATTCTAGGACTGTGTGGATTTGCTTCTATTGTTGCCATCTACACAATTTGTTGAGCATGGAGTTTAGTTTTCGTATCTATAATATGGGAATAATCATCCTCCCCATTGGTAATGCACATCTTATGATAAGTAGCTGCTTGTTATGTTGAACACCAGCTGCAACCTATTTTCATTTGTTGTCTTTGGTGTGACTGATCACAGCAGAAGCAGATGTTAGGTCCTACGCAGAGGGGATAATTCAGGATGTGCATCCTTTAGAACACTTTTTGTTAAGCCTGGGAGAACTGGCAATAGTAAATTCAAGCAGAGTTGCAGACCAATAGCACACATTGTAATATGCTATTCTGTACTTAGAGCAAATAGGTGCATTAGTCCCAGGATATCGCATATTTTAAACCATTAAATAGCCATAATGGGGTGATGTATTTGTATAATTACAGCTAGTGGCAGGAACAGAATTTGGAACCTGTGCCTGGGCACTTATAAGGGCTGTGCCTGAGGCAGCTGAATAGAACCAGCTGCTTAAGACTGTGATAGGTACATCAACTATACTTTTAAGACGCCTCCAGCAGCTTCTGCCTTCTACTGCTGCTGTTCTGTCAAAAACTGCTCCTCTGGAGAGCAGTGGTTCCATATTATCTTGTTTCCAACTTCTTAAAACTCAGATTTAGTCTTTACCTTTGAAACTGGTAGTTGTGGTAGTCTGTAGTGTTATATTGTTGATCTACATTTTGGGTCTTTAAATATCAGACAACAAGATGTGTCTCTAATAAGCTGTTTGTTTTTTTTTTTCTTAAGAGAAAGAAATAAAATAACCCCAAACAACAAAATAAAACCCCCACAACTGAATACAGAACTTAGCAGCACAATTTTCCATTTATAAGTAAATAATGGATATCAAAAATACTATTGCATACTTATTCCTGACTTGGTGCTTTTCCACTCCCTGGCCTCTAAAACTGCTCACTGCATTTAGTCTTTGCTGAGTGTATACTTCCAGTCTCAGTCACAAACTGTATTTGGACAAGTGGGCTCAGAGTGTGCAGATCTGGTGGTGAAATACCAGGTGAAACCATAATTTCTAGACTAATTAGATGTCATTTCTAAACATTCTCTTTTGGTTTCTCATTCCCCTGTTGGTTTTAAACCTGGAAGGTGAACTGTCTTTTAGAGCTAGTAACTGATCTGTAGTGATTTTGTGAATGTCTATCTGGAGATTATTCTCTCATAGGAAATCCCCTCTTCTCCTTTAAAATTGAACTGTTTCCTTACACTAGATACAAATGGGTCGGTTTGGTATAAGACTCAAGGGGACATTAATTTTGCATGTGTATATGTATGTGTTCCTGTTGCAGAGAGGCTGGGAGGTTATTATTCATACTACTATTCTTTCTGCTGCCTTTGACAAAATAGCAGCTGGTTCTACTAATGAATGTTTAAGGTGCCCATTTTTTCTCTCCAGTCTCATCCGTGCTGCAGGGATATATATTCTGAAGGGAACATTTCATGACACAATTATTCATGAAATGACAAAATAGTTCCCCAGGTGTAGTATCTGCTTTATTTCTTTGACAGAGGTCTTTCACTCTTTCCTTCTCCTGTGGTCAGCCTCGTGAAAGATAGGGATGAATAATGATGGGAATCAAACCACCTTGAACTTTGGACAGATTCACATCTGAAAAAGAATAGTGTAGTTTCCTAAATGCAGAGGAGGGTTTGCAAAAATCATTTGGTATTCCTCTTAGCTTGCCAGTGGGAAAGTCAGAAGTAAAACTCCTAGAGTTTAAGGAAAACCTGGCTATTGCCAACATTTAACCTTTGTCATTCAGGTTAGAAATGGCTTATATAATAAATACATATCCATCCAGTATTGGCCATGATACCAAATTGTTTTCTTGATCAGTGCAGGCTGTTGAAATTTAAACTGTTTCTAAAAGCAGTTGACTGGCTGAAGTATTAAAAACTGAAATTAATTTCTTTAAAGTAATCTTATTGAAACTGTAACTTCTGGTAATTTATAGGCTTTTGATTTATATACTGTGAAAACAACTGTTAACAAACAGTACATTCACACACAATTTCACTTATTTTAATGAAAAAACCACAAAAACTCTACTGGAATAAATATAAAGAATAGATCACTGCTTTAAACTGCAATAATTATAACTTCACAAGTTCACAAAACTTAGGTTAAGAAATGAACAGTCCAATAAACGATGTTTTTTGACTTTTTTTTCTATTGCGTTCATGCTTTAACACTTTTTTCCAGAGGTCTTATAATTCCTTCTACTTTATTTATAAATATACAAAAATATTCAGTTCAGCTGTGTGATTTGGTCAAGATTTTCTGAATATTATGTTACTACTAATGAAGGTTAGAAAATCGGATGTGACCTGATACTTATACCTTCCATTACAAATTCATTCAGTATCTTTTGAACTTTTGTCCTGCTTGCTCTTATGAGTCATGTTATGGTAGCACCTGTAGGAAATCAAGTACTGTATTAGGACTTTGTACTGTAAGAGAACACCCTCTCTTAAACTGCCTGCCAATTCCAGTGTAGATTTACACGGTTAGTTATTGTTTTCTTCTCTCCTTCTCCCAGCTGTTACCAAGAGCTAAGAATTTAGGTATTGTTTGCTTATCTTTGGTGTAAAAAAAAAAACCCAACCAAACAACCAAACAGAACCCCCCCCAAAAATTAGTTTATCATAAGGGATAGTATGAATCAGGGAATCAGAGGGAGATATACTAATAAGGAGGTATTGGCACTTCTTTGTGTGGCATGTATCTCACAACAAAGCAGTGGGTGAAAGCAATGACACTACCACCGTTGGCCATCCATTTCTTGGATGTATCTAATGGTGATGTATAGTTTGAAA